GATGGAAGTCCTCAGGGACTCCCTCCCCTGCAGCAGCTCCACCCCTCTAACTTCCCTGCATCCTGGGTGCCCTGGCCTCCCTCCCTCCAGGCTCCCTGAAGGTGGCTCTGCTTCCTGTACACTAATCCCCCACCTGTGCCTACATCCTGTCCCCTCCTACAGCCCCGCAGACTTGCCCTAGTCAATGCTCTCTACCTCTTTCCTTCTCCTGGCTTCTTCCCATCACCATTTAAGGCTGAGTAAGTAATGGTCTCTTGAAACCCTCATTTCCCTGCTGGCTGAGTCAATAATTCTCTCCTTTGTATCTACTTCTTCACCTTTCTTTTGTCACTTTGCTCATCACCACCTACTTTCTTCCCCCAGCACTGCCCTGACCCTTCTCTGAGGGATGTCATTTGCTATGAGTTGAATTTTATGCCCCATAAACATCTGCTAAAGCCCTGACCTTAGGTACCTATGCATGTCACCTTATTTGGAAATAGGTCCTTTGCTGATGCAATTAGTTAAGTTGAGGTCATGCTAGGTTAGGGTGGACCCTAAATGCAGTATGACTGGCATCATTATAAAAAGAGGAACAAACACACACACACACACACACACAATGCCACACGGCTACACAGTGATTGGAGAAATGTATCTGTAAGCCTAGAAAATCCCAGGATTGCTGACACCCAACAGAACTTAAAAAGAGAGAAAGGAGCATTCTTCCCAGGAGCCTTGGGAAGGAGCATGGCCCTGCTGACACCTTGATTTTCAACTTCTAGCATCCAGAACTTTAAGATAATTCTGTTGTTTTAAACTCTGCAGTTTGTGCTATTTTGTTACAGCCACTCTATGAAACAAATACTCCATCACTTACAGAATTTCTGAAGTGGTCAATTGCCCCAGTTTTCCCAGATCATCGCATGTCCAGGGCTATACCCAGGCAATTCCCAGGCACCCCGAGCTGACCTTGTCACTCTCCCTACTGGCCCACATCTGCCTTGTACTCTCTGCATCAGAAGATACTCTGAAGACCACCTCCACCTCAAAACGCCCTGCTTTCTTGGTTCCCATAATGCCTTGCTCTCAACTGGGTAATGCCGTCTGATGGCAGGTTAGAAACTCAGCTTCTTACCCCAAAATCATCATTCCCTTCTTTATTCCCTGTCGCTATTGCACATAGAATTAACAGCCAAGAACCTGGGGATCCAATCAGTGCCTCCTTCTCCCTCCTCTCCTACAACCATTAAATAAATATCCCCTTCAAATTTCTAGAACCCACCCAACTCTTTCCAGCATGCGACCACTCCCTCAGCTCAGGTCCTCATTACTGCCCCCTCAGAGCACGCAGCAGCCTGACAATGGGCTCTCCCTGCCACCAAGTTGCCACCCTCCAAGCTGGGCCTATCCAGATGGAGAGGGATCTTCTCAAGATGCCTTCTGATGCTGTGAATTATGGGCCCCCTCTAATGACAGCCTCATCTCCCTCTACCCTCTTTCCACAACTTAAACTAAGACTCCATGGCTTATTCTACTTGACACTTGCCGGGATCTGCCGCACCCCCACTCCAGGCTGACATACTTGCTATTTTGCTCTCCCTGGGATACCTCCCACTTTGTGAGATTCATAAACACCTCCGAGCAATCATTTGGGACACAGCTCTAGCACTGTCTCCTCCTAGAAACCATGCCAGCCACACGCATGAAGCTCCGGCTGTCCGGTCCAGATGCCGCTGTCCTGGGCTCCCACAGCATCCAGCAAAGACAACCGATGGGGCTCTTACTAGGACACAGTGCAATGGTCCTTTCACTCTATATTCCTAGAGATATTCTCAGTCCTTCACAGGAACCATGTCTTTTGCCTCTATCTCCTCAATATTTAGCCCAAACCCTGATGTATAACAAGCACCTATTAAATATCTGTTGAATGTTCACTCCAAATTAACAACAGGCAAATTAAAAATATGCTGAGATGCCATTTATGAACTATGGGATTAGTCCAAATCCTAAACAGTGTATACTACCAGAAAGATTGGTTGGAAACAGATCCTCAGATCCAGGCCAATGAGAATATAAAATGGCACAGCCTTCAGAAAAATTGCCTTCAGAAAACTGGGCAATATCTAGCAAAGCCAAGTGGCATTTACCCTTTGACCTAGCAATCACATTTGGAGGAATCTCTTTGACTGGGACCCTTGCAAAAATATCAAAAGATGTTTGCAGGAGGTATGACTCATTCTAACACTATCCACAACCACAAATGACAGAAAATAACCTAAAGGTCTCTCACAGGTAGTTGTTGAGTAGAATATGGTTTCTCACATAAAGGAGAGCCACACAGCCATAAGAAGGGGTGAAATAAATCTATAGTGCTAGGAGGTGGACTCCAAAGTGTATCATTATATCAAACTTGCTGGAGAGAGAAAGCTTTGTAGGTATGTTATCAATATGTATGTGTACATGTGTACGTGTATACGTGTGTGTGTGTGTGTAGTTTTATTTATATTAAAAAAGAAGCATAAACCAGAACATATGAGGAAAAGTTTAGCTCAACACAGACAGAGGGAACAAGGTAAAGAAACGGAGTGACACTAGTTCCGTTCCTTTTAATACACCTTGATTCATATATTTGACTTTCAAACACTACATAATAATTAATTAGTAAAATTTCTAGGAAGTCAAAAATGAAATGAAACAAATGAAATGAATGGGGTTTTGAGGTGGTGGCATAGCCATACAAAAGGAAATTATCTCCAGTGATTTCAAGGCAGTAATTATGCTTTAATTTCAGAAAGAAATTTATACCCTAAAGACTAAAAGAAGAGAAAAAAATCATCTGAAAGGTTGTCAGTAGTCAGAAATGACTAGAGTTGCTTGCAATTGCTATTTCAAAACAAGTGAGTATGTAAATGGCAGCAGAAGGCAAAGGAATAATTACTTTGGCCTCAGAGACGCAGGATCTATGCTCGGAGAAAAAGAGATGCACAGAGAAGGAAGAGGATCAGAAAAACTGTAGTGTCCAGGACATGAACTGGAAGCATCTAGAATTTCCAGTGCATTTTTTAAAACATCTTCCTTAGCTCTGTACACCTAACAGATCTAACTTTGGGCACATCTGTGCTTCAACCAGCCAAAAAATGTCTACAGAAGAAAATGGAAAAAAGGAGCCAGGAACACTGTTATTTCAAAGAGCAAGCAAGCTACAGCGGCCTGGGCTGCGTCAAAAGAACTCAGGAGCCAACGACTCCGAGAGGCTCCCCAGGCTTGAAATGTGACAATCTCACCATCTGTGAAAACGGAAACTGCAATTGCATGAAATATATCAAATGTTGGAATTCATGTATTAATAAACAGTCTGATAATAAAAATAAAAGTACATATATAACATCTTATTTAAAAGTACATGTATAACATCTTGTTTGGCACCTTTGGATAATGTTAGAGAACCAACTAAAAGCCTTTAAAAAAAAGGCTGGTAAAAGGAAGAAAAAAAAAAATTTCCTTCCCTATATAAGCTGTATCCTCAGAATACTGATGAGGGAAAGTTGCGTTATAAAGTAAACGAAGGAGGAGTAATAAATGAGGAAGTCCTGGTTTGGCAGCACCCATGGAGGAATCAGCAGTTAGGCAGCGCTCACCAGGGCCTGCTACTCCCACAGGTGGGCGCGAGCTTCCTCCCCAGGGAGGTACACAGCACCCTCCCTGAACAGCAGAGATAAAAAGACTTGAACCTGAATCTAAGCAGCCTTCTGATATTACTATGAATTTACAGAACTATTCGAGGTAGAAGAATATTTGAATACTGATGGGATGCACTCAGCAAAAGCCCGACTGTGGGAGACCCTCTAGGACAAGGAGCTCGGGTTTTTTTAATAATTAATTTGCAAGAGAAGTAACAACAGAAACAGCCAATGATTAAAAGAGACTGGAGAGTTGCACCAGTCAGCTGCAATGGAAGCTCTTGGGTCCCAATTCAATCTGACTGTTAATAAAAAAAAAATCACAAGCATTCATGAAGCCAGCAGGGATCCCACGGCAGGCACTGGCTGTTTGGGGCTTTCATGGAGCTGGTTTGGGTTTGGGTTTTTTGTCCATTTGATGTGATAATGGTATTGTGATTCCCTTTCTTTGATAGTTGTGAACTGAAATATTATAGATATACTTACATGATTTCTTGAATTCGCTTCAAAATAATTTGGTGGGTATAGGGTGGAGCATAGGTGAGGTTTTAAAAGAAAAAGGTGGACCAGAAATTAATAAAAGGTGGGGGCTGGAGGTTCCTTAGACTGTTCTTTCTATTTTTGTATATATTTGAAATATTTTCACAATACCAAGGTTAAAAATGACAAAACATAAAACTATTTATTGGAGGAATTATTAAAATATAATGCCTGAATAACTCTACTTCACTTGATAGTGTAACTGTAAGTTCCTTTTGGACAAGGACAGACAAATTTATTTTTCACCCTAAAAGTTTAGAAGAACATCATGTAAAGAACGCTAAATAAATTCTGATGAGTGAAGAAATAAATGAGTGGGCTGCATACTAATTAATTAGTTTGACAGATCCATGAAGATATTTGAGACGTTAAACCACCTGTGTCTGCCATATGATGCCAGGTCAAGAAAAAAGGCCTAAGTTTTGTGGTACGGCTAAGGTTTTGCCGGGAAATGCTGAAGTGAAGCATGTTTTTGTTTAACTCGGTTTTGTGGTTATTTCTGTGGGTCCTGTCCAGCCCGTTCCAATGCTAAGGGGTTTGCGGCAACTGTGAAACAAAGGCGGCCTCATCAGTGGGATTTTCTACCCAGCAACTCCGGCCCTGGATTCTTCTTGACACAGTGAGTACTTTCTGGATATGCAATTCTTGCAATGGAGGAGTTTGTATTTTTGCTCATATTTTAAACAGTGTCAAAAACAACAGTCACAGAAGAACAGAGCAACGAGCACTTCCATCCTCTATCACCGAGCATGGAAGTGCATTTGAATGGTGCCTCTGGGAGGGGCGCTCACTGCTTACCTTTATAGGAAATGACCGGGTGCTCTGCTCTCTGGCACTGTAGCACATCTGTCTCCGGCTGGCCGAGCGCCCACCACCCCAGGCCTGAGAACAGACACGCGACGATGCAGGCCCCCTTCATGGTGTGCAGATGGCCTCCGATTCGGGGTGCCTGTCTCTAACCAGAAGCTCGTCTTCCCGTCATGTGGGAAAGTGCCTAAAACACACAAAAGAGAACAGTTAGGTGAGCCTGAGTTCAGGTTTTCTGCCAGTGAGCTTTGGTAAAGCCTCATGACTACAGTTTAAAAAGGAGGGTCTAACAGAGCATGGACAGACTCACCTTTTTCTGGGTGGCATTTCAGATATGCGTGAGTAGGACACATCTCAATACAGACCTCTCCTCCTCCCAAAAATTTTATGAGCTAACCCTGTTATTATAAAAGGCGATAGACTCAAGTTTAAGCTTCACTGCATAGTCATAGTCACTCCTAAAGGATGCAGTTTAATAGTTGAATTTCCCTTAGAACATCACCTTCATCCCCACAGGCAAACAGAATTCTATACTGGAAATCCTAAGAATCCCCACCCTTCCTTTTCTAATATGCACAAGCCCCTCCTTAAAAAGACCACAACCACTGTCTTTGACCAACAACTTGATTAATATTATGCTAGCCAGCTCCTAAAAATCATCCATATTTGTGGAATTTGTCCTTTGAAATTTACATGTGACCTCCTTACAAAGTTTCTGGCTAGAGATCAAGTGTGACTCAAATAAAATCCATCCTGAGTACCTACTGGGTGAAATGAAATCACTATGCTGGGAGCTGGGAGACTTTAAATGATTATGAATAATTTAAAAGATTAATAAGCTTTAAAATAAGATAGGCTTGTAAAAATAACTATACTCCAAGCTGTTAGAAAACCATAAAAAGAGGCAGGAGTGCTCTGGGAGTGAAGAGAGAGCACAAATGCCATTTAGAGGGATCGAGATGGGTCCACGGGGGGGGTTGCACTTGAGTTTAGTTTAGAGGATAAAGAAGATTTCAACAGATGGAGATTTCTGGGTATGATGCCCAGGAGGGGCCAAGGGAAGCAGTGGGCAATGTGTCTCGGGAACAGTTTCCTGGCCCCAGGAGATGTAAAAGTGGAAGCAGCTAAGATAGGAGAGTGGGTTAAGATTTGGAGGGCAGACTCTACTAGGAGTACAGTCTGTAGGCAACAATCTACCACAGTCCAATTAGCACTAGAGGAAATACTAGTAAGATCATTGTCACAACAATGTATATGGAAAATTAGGAAGAGAAAAGCATAAAGGTGGAGAAGTTAATTTGAAGATACGGCAGTTGCTCAGAAGAGAAATAAGTGAATCTGTAACCTTAGGTGGCATCGATGTGGACAACACTAAGGCAAACTCAGCAGCATGATGGGCAAGGGAAAGCCGTGCAAATGAGAGGCAGCCACGGCTTCTTCAACCTCCCTCCCACTGAAAGCGAGGTCTAGGCCCCCTCTCTTGAATCTGGGGTGTCTCTGTGACTGCTCTGCTCAGCTGAATCCAACAGAAGGGAGGGCATGCTAGTTCCCGAGCCCAGCCCCCAGGAGGCGGGCAGTTTCTACTTCCTGCCTCTTAGAACAGGATCTCTGGGACACTAAGACACCAGGTCAGAAGTCCCACTGCCCTGAGACTGCCACACTATGCAGGCCACACACAGGTGTTCCTAGACTTTTCCCACTGAGCGCATCTTCCCAGCCATCCCCACCAAGGTACCTGAGACATGAGTAAAGCTAAAATCCCCTGAGTAGCCTCAGCAGCATGACAGCAAAGGAGTCACCCAGTTCAGACCTTCCCAAATTCCTAACCCCCAAAGTGTAAAATATAATAAACAGTTGTTATTCCAACCTGCTAAATTTTGGGGAACAGAAAGCAAAGAGGCCAACAGACTCAAATCAGGGAATATAAGGGGCTGCAAGGCTAGTAATGCCATTCATTGAAATATGATAATCAACAGGAGAATTTCTGCTTTGATGAGAATGTGATCATTTAGTTTTGTCTAAGATGCTGAGAAAATACTTAAAAAGATGCAGCAGACCTTTGAAAACCCAGGTTGGATGCTCAGGAAAAAATAATTCAGAGATAGCATGTAAGAGTTGAAGAGTTTAAATTATGTTAAGATTTACCAGGAGAAAGACAGGCCTGTAGAGAACTGCTGTTCAGAAGCTGTAATTTAAAATGTAACCCCACAAAGACCAGAGACAGAAAATAGAGGGTATATGGACTATGGCAACATGGAGGTCAGGTTAGGCTGGATTATACAAATAACACATCTTAAAAAGAGGTATCAACTGTATACGATGAGGCAGAATGAAGACCACTGGCTTTAGTCAACCGCCAGTGAGCAATTTGGGGGGACAGTTTCAGCAAAACAAGAATCAGAATCCATGTAGCAAGGAACCGAGGAAGGAAAGGGTGCGGGCAAAATGGGCTGGATGGAATAAGCAGGGCTATCTTGAAGGCTAGGCAACCAAAGAAATTCAGTGAAATCAGGTAAGAAGCACTCAAAGATCAAATGGGAAAATTAAATGAGAGAACAGATCATTCTATGTGGCTTGTTTTCTGAAAAGTGATTAGGTGGAGTAGAGTTTGTAGATTTAAGAGCAAGAGGAGGTATCAGACAGAAGATCCAAGAAAAATTGAGGTGGCAAACTATTAGGGTCCTAATAAAGAAAGTGGATATGAAAGGAAGGAAAAGGGCCTCTTCTTTAAAAAGGAGTGTGCACTTAATGTAAGGTGAGCACTCAAGACGGAGAACGCAGAAAGGTGAGGGTACCTCAAATTCTAGAGTCTCTGTATTCTGAATGCCCTTGACTCAATGCTCCCATTCACAGAAATGTTCACATGGGGCAGCAAAAAGAGAGTAGGGTCTGCAAGTCACCAAGAGACAAGAGTTTAGTTTCTTCACAAGCAAGAGATCCTCAGCATGGAGGAAGGAAAGAGAGGAAAATGGAGCCAGGACAGGGCATCTGTCCAGAGGGTCATGACCCCCACCCCGGCTCAGTAACTGCAATGGGCAATGGAAGCACGTTAGTTTTCCTGGGTTACAAAATTACAAGTATGATTAATTTCACTTTTGGAAAAGGGGCAGTAGTGTGTAAAACTGGAAGCTGCTTAAAACTGCAGTCTAGAGGTAAACACACAGAGGAGTCCACCTCTTCTTATCCTTCTGATTTGAGACTTAAAACATGAAGTTTCACCAAGTGATGTATTTCATCACAGAGTAACTCCCATTGAAGGTATTTTAGACACAGCTGTGTTCTGTTGCGAGCAGGGAGATTTGGAGCACCCTCGCCAGTCCATTCAGGGGATGCCACGGGGAAATCACCACTGCCTAGCCTCAAAACAAACTGGCCATGATAAAAATATTATGGGAAGAATAATGAAAGTAACAGTGGGCCTTTGGCAACTGCCAGCTCAGGGGAAGGCATGATACCAAGCACTTATACCAGGCCTCACACCCAACAGGCACCCATCAGAGGGGAATCGGAATCTTGGCTGTCTGGACCCCCAAGACTGAGCTCCAGTCAACTAGAGGCTAAGAGCAAATTCTTGCACATAATTTTTCAATGGGTCAGGCCCAAGCCAACATAGAACACCTTCTGTTAACTATGAAACAAGTTAGACAGACCAACGGCAAACCGAAGTCCTATATTTACACAGCCATCACAGCCATCTATGCCCTAAGATCTTTGCCTCCAGAAGGGAAGGGAGAGGAAAATAACACAAGTGCCAGGGCTGGTCCTTCCCTGGGACTCCGAAAGTGACGATGAGACAAGAGGGAGATGCCATGTCATAAGAGAAAGAGCAGCTAAAATAGGACATGTTGTTCCATGGCGACGGGATGAGATTACATGTTTGCCACATTAAACTAAAGGAAGCACATTTAATAAGAACAGGTGATTTTTAGAAGTTTATAACTTCCAGACTATACCATCTTACCTTTTCTTTTAAAATAAAGATACTATAAACAGTCGTCCTGGTAAGCTGCCAGGGACAGGCATTCACAGTCTTCACTTAGAGGAGACTTTTCTGAGCAACCTACCACACAATGCCAATGCCTTGAATAGTCTTTTACTCTAAATAGGCTCAGATCTAAATAGCAGGTCTCTCCAGCCTGGATTCTGTAATTCCATCTTCCACTGAGTAATGAAGTGCTAACCTCCTAGTGCTAAGGAAGGGCATATTTATATCAGGGCCTTTAGTGCTCAATTTCAGCACTATTGACATTTAGAACCAGGTAACTCTTTGTTCTGGGAGCTGTCCTGTGCACACAGCAGCGCCCCTGGCCTCTGCACACCAGACACCAGTAGCACATCCCTCCACCCCATACCCCATCACCCCATTCCCATTTGTATCTGCTAAAACTGCCTTCAGACATTACTAAATTGCCCCAGGTCGGTAACCAGTGATTGCTGTGTATCCAAATACTGCTCCCTCTTTAGAAATTATATAAACTATCATCCCTTAAAGATAATTTTATAATATGCTTATATAAGTCACCCACCTGAATTTGTATTGAGTTATTTCAGCAACATTTTAATGAAAATAAAAGTTACATTAATTATAACTATTTGCATTAGGAAAATACATTATTAAGGAATTGAAATTTTCAAGGATAAATTTCAATGAAAGTTGTTGTAACTTCTTCCTACCACCTCTGGAAAATTAAAAATGTATTAGGTGAGTTCATACCAAATGACTTTGCTATTAGTAAGACTTAGTCCCACAGGCCAACTTGGGCTACAAAATAGAAACATTTGTGTTGTATGTACCTCAAAATCCCTGAAGCCCTCCTCTTAGTTTCCTTATGTGGGAGGATGTCTGTATAAAGCTTGGCCTAAATTAGCAAAACTTTGTATATAAATGTGTGTGTGCAATAAATAACATTTCCCATTCACACCCACACTGCAAATGAATAGGCTTTGGGGAACAAAAAATAACTGTTCCTTTTAGTTTAAAAAAATGCTGTCAGATAAAAAGAAATCATAACAGTGAACGCGTACACAGGAAGTTTTGCTCTGGGAACAAAGTCTAACTAGTTTTTCATAAAAACAGATCCAAAATAAGCCTAATGTACTTCTTTTTAGGGGAGGCTGGATTTCTTCTGAGCCTTAGACATACTGTAAAGTTGTAAGTGGCCAAATTATTGGCACAATTCCGAGTCC